TTTTTGTCGTTAAAGGTCAGCCAGAGCGAGGGTCACTATTAACAGAAGTACGGCCTTCTTTGAAACGATTAAACCACTTTTCTATTTGTATTTTGCTTATACACTAACTAGCGACCCCCCGTCTCGGCTTCGCCCGAGACTTACAAAATGGAACAACGTAGTGTGTTGACATGTAATGTGAAACGTTTCGGTAAGAAATTTTACATATATTTCTGACACTACTCCAAATAAAAATCTTCTTATAAAAACATATTTGTTTGGAATTCATACAGTTTGTTTGGTCAAATAATAAGCTGTAAAAAATGAAACAAAATATAGTTATGCTGAAAAGTACCGTGCTTTCCTTATGCCTTTAAATGATCATTGGGCATAAGGGGCCGTTGATTTGCAGTTTTTCCCGTATAATTTACGAAAAGGGCTATTTATTAAAGTTGTTAAGATTAAAAACCCCGAAAAAATATATCCTTAAATATTTTTTTTTTCTTATCTCACAACTTTATTACCAGAGCAACAAAGTCCTGGAGCTTAATCTCTACATTTTGTATAACTACAAAAATCCAAATACATTTTCTACTTATTTAAAAAACTGAAAAATTTAAGAGATTACTGTAAGGGTACAATGATAAGCTGATCTCTCACGTAATAAATTCTTCATTTGTTGATTTTGACGCTGCTGTTCCAATCTCGATAAATTTTCTACGTCAGTTTCTTGACGCCTGAAATTGTATTAATCAGATACATTTGAACTTTTCCTTTCAATTCATCCTCTTTTGACATTTGGCATTCTTAAGACTTCCGTGACCCTTGAAGGCTATTTTCTGTCAACTTTGTTAAGTTCTAATATAATTGTTGGCCACGTAGCTCGACATCCGATGCCCTAAAAAAAAGTTGAGCTTCTTAAGTAAACTCTTTCTTGACTGAAGTTAAAAGCAATTGTGAATGCCTGGATAACTTAGAGTGATCTCCTCTGGCCTGCCCTAGACTGATGATGAGAAAAATTATAAAGTCCGAAGCTTTGAAGATAGTTATAATACTCTTTCCCAATGTCTTCTGGTATAACGTCGAAGACGTTGGTGTCTAAAGCAAATTTTTTTTGCAGACTGAGTTGTTTTGGTGATTTAAGATGGGGAGATAGGTTCGTGATGCTTACTCAATGGTAACTGTCCCGTTGGCTCAAGTTTTTTTTCCTTCATAGATGTTAGGTTCACCCAGCGCAGACCTTGGAGAGGGTCGGTGATTCCTGGTTACATGCTTAGAGTCGAGGGGGTAATATAGGGTCATCAATGGCCGGGGTCCCCAGCCTTGCGAAGAACAACTCCGCTCGTGACGTCTGCCAATGAATGACTGAGTTGTTTAATAGTGGCCGTCTTCAGTTAACATAATCTTTAAGTCGACGAACCGCTTCTGGAAATGTGGTAAAAATGTATTTGTTGTCAAAGTAATTTAAACTTAGGTGGCCCTTAAAAGAACCGATGAGATTGATGGTTAAGTAGGGAACGTTAATACTTATAATGGCCCTGAAAAGGGCCCGGTGGTAAAATTTCTATCTATTCCTTATTATTATTCCTGATGATAAAGAGCTGGCTGGGGGTAGCTTGACTTTTACCCTCGAAGTCTCTATGTACGGAGACTGTGATATAGGGAGGTACGCCGCTGACCAAAGAATATTTCGTCTTCGGAAAGTTTCCCGGATAACCAACCGCTCATCGTTAGTCGGGAAAATGTGGGTATGCTGTTGGGAACACGACCACTGAGAAGGTAGCCGTTGTGGCTGCCCATGCTCCTCAGGGCTGTCTTTCCTGGCTTACATTTGTGCCAAAAATTATCTGACGGCACCAGGCGGGATGGTGAAACGGCCACATAACTGTGAAGTGTTGAAGTAGGTTGTGCTCTGGCTAGATACGTCTCCTGGTATTCCACTAGACGGTATCGGTTATAATAATTTTTTTTTGGTGTCACTTGTCATTCCTGGAAATTCAGGGTGAATGTAGACCTAGGTCACTTGCCCATTAGAGAAGATAGAGAAGAGTGTCGTTGGTAACCGGGATACCCAGCTGCGACTTTCATTTACATCCTCGATGCAGCTCGATGAACTGCCGGTAGACAACTACAGGATTTTCTGAGACGCTTCAGCGTATTATAACCACACTTATTTAATTCTGTTGTAGGTAGCTTCAATTTTATGTCAACGCCACCTAGCGGATCTTACTGAACTAAAGTGGAAAGCTGGCGTATTATTGCAAAATTTTGAGCTTATTTATTGCTATTGTTATTAAATTTTTTAAGATGAAAACTATACTAAAACCATCTAGGAAGTTTCAAGAATCAGTATGAAAAATTTCAGCAAAATCGGTTTAGTAGTTTTCGCAGTGAGCGATTACAACAGTTTTAGCGACTTTGTTTTATATATTAGTAGGATTCCGAAAAGCCTTCTGCATTTCCTGAATAGTTTCAGAACTCGTTTTTGCGATCTGAAAGCAAAATTTAATGCATTTTTGTTGATCCTGCTATTTAGTCGTTTTTAATTGTCACAAAATCCGCTTAACTTAAAAGTAACTTTGTAAACAAAGACGCACTGTGCATAAAATATGTGTCCAAAAGGTATTAGGTCGCTCGAACACTATGGCATGGAGTTGTAGAGGTAGGCCCAATACTTCCAAGACATACCTTATATATTATTTTTCTAGAGTGATAATCTTGTTGAAATAAAAAAGAGGTTTATCACTATTGTGAAAGCTGTGCCATTGCATAAGGTTTAAATTATTTGCAAAATAAGGATTAGCGAATCTGTAGTTAAGTTGGTACTGTCGTATGAGTGAGATATGAAAATAAATTTCAGTTTAAAGCAATAATTTTAACATAAACTGTGGTAAACATGAAATAATAACTTTTTGTACAGACACATGATCGATTAAAATTTTTTACATATTCCCAATCGTCTGCATTCTCAGTATTGACTGCATTTTTATTAATAACTTGTGGGTCAACTTTACATAAAACCTAAATTTTGACAATTTTTTATGAGATACCATGTTTAAATTGAGATTTTTCTTCATTTCTCGCCCTCAAAAACACCTCAAGGTCTTGAAACTCCAGAGTGAGTATTTGTGTACTTGAATTAATCCGAAGTAAGATTTATTCAAAAATCTTGCAGATTATTTTATATACGATAGTTATACCTTATAATATTATAGCATGTTCCTCACCAAAATGAAAAATTAAAACTCATTTGAAACTCTAAATTTTTACTTGGCCTTTCTGGGATATTTTGAATTCTGTACCAAACGTTGTAACTTCTTTCATCTAAATCTGCACCACATGTGTCAAGAACTAGAATTCAACAGTTAAAATAATCTTTTTTTAACGAAACTTCGGAAGTAGAAGGTTGCTTAGCAAAAACATACGAAAAAAGTTGTTGAACGTCTAAGCCATAGGTAAAGCTTAATTAAAAGGTTAACAGGTGAAAAGCAAGCTTTTATTTTTATCTAGCTTTTGCAAGTTCTTCCGCTTATGCATGATGGACAATACATAATATTAGCTGCATTTTGAATTTTGAACATTTTCAAATCTTAAATTTACAAAAATTTATAGTATTCCTACTTGTTACAGCACCTTTGTTATAAGTTTCCTGACAAAAGAAGTAGTTTTCAGAAGTTATAACTTTTTTGGTATAATTTTTTTAATTTCACACTATACGTTAATACATGAAAAACACATAAAATTATATTTTTGTCTAGAAAACTTTAACCTGTTTTCTTAAATAAATGAAAAAATAATTTTTCATCAATAATTAGAATACGGCATATATGCTAATGAAGCCTAAGCGTTTGGCGTTCAATGCTACTAGTTAGCAGAGGCTGTCTCTTTTTGTCTGCAGACTTTATATGCTTAGCATAGTCCCGTCAACCCTAGACATCAAAGCATAAGCTACCCATTTCCTATTATTTACCATCTCAGCGCTACATATCGCAGGCCACCGCACACATACGCACGCACACACACGTGCACGCGCGCGCAATCACATGTATGCAATTTATAATTTTTTTTGCTAATACCCTTACTAATCTTTCTCTAATTTTTTCTAGTATGACAAAGTCATTTATAGACGTAGCTCATCTTAAGAACGACTAAACATAATGTTACGTTTAAGATATTTATTTATGCTTTGTCTCTGTGTCGGTCTGTTTTTTGTTTCATGCGAAAGATAAAGAAGCAACAATAGAACATCCGATAACACTGGTAGCCGAGAGAACAAGAAAAAGAGATAGAATTATAGAGCATAGTCAGAAAGACGCGTTGTTACATAATTTGTAGAGAAATATGAAAATATGTTATATGAGAAGCAAGATATGTAATGAATAAGGCCTGTAATTGATGATATTAATGTTGTAGTTAGTTTTTTTTTAAATGTGTTAATGTCAGGAAGTAAACGCGAAGTGTGAGCATGTTATAAGGAATGGAGTTGGTATGCTTAGAATAAAGGTTAATGAGAAGCAGGCGAGAATTGAATTGAATTGAATTTATTTAATACAGAGCTAAGAGCTAGTCACTCTTCGTAGCTCGGCTTGTTATGCAATTACATATCTCAATATAGTAGGAGCCATTTGCAGCCTACTCCCAGTCTAATTCATAGTAAAAACTGATAAAATAAATAAATAAGTAAATAGATATAAAAATAAATAAATAAATAAATAAATAAAAAATAAATAAGTACATGAATAAATAGATAAAAGTTTACATAATACATCGTATCACAGTTAGTAAAATCTGAGTAAGATGCATTAAAAACAGTTTACAATGAGGCAAACAAGCAAAGAACATAATAGTACGCTGTAATTTCACAGACCACAGTACACTAAACTAAATAACACAGTATCACAGCACAATTCCCACACATCAGTGCAGCAGCACAGCAATCAGCAATCAGTCCAAAGAAAAAAGTCTTCCCAGTAGAAACGAGGCAACTTTCCTCCTAAAGCATGGCTCCCTTAGGCAGTCACGAATCTCTCCAGGCAGCCCGTTCCACAGAAAGAGTCCTTATAAAAGTCGGTCCTTGCCCAAGGAACAAGGAGATCAGTAGACAAAGTCCTCTTGGATCCAACAGCGTCACTGGACTGATAGCAAAACTTCTCCAACAGGTATCGCGGCCTTCCAGTAGTCAAGATGGAACCAAGCAGAATAATGCACATGTAGTCTCGACGCACATTGTAAGGCATAAGTCTGAGTCGCCCGTACGTTGGTGTGATGTGCTCGTGCTTCCTCAGAACCGTGGCAAATCTGATTGCAGCATTCATACTTCGCCGCATTCTAACACACAGCTCAGATGACAGGCTAAGAAACAAGCCAACACAATAGTCATAGTACGGAAATACGAGCGACTTAAGCATGAGACGGACTTCTGGCACCAGGGAATCACTACATCTGCGAATCCGAGAGAGAGCAGCGTAGCTTTTTCTTGAGGTTTCAATTGTTTGGTGTGACCAAATTAGAGTGCAGTCCAAGGTAACACCAAGAATCTTGACTGTATCGCCGCATTCCAAGCTATCATCACCAATACGCACAGTGTGTGGGCCGTCCTCCCGGATGCGGCTCATGAAGCCGCGCGTAGCAAACCAGGCCGCTTGGGACTTGCCAAGACGATTCCTAAGGCCACATGCCAGGGAACACCAGTTGAGTGCGCCGAGATCCTTATTCATCCTGTCAACCAGCAGAGGTCAGTCACAATAGCGCCCGTGGATAAAGATTGTGACATCATCGGCGTAGAGATGATACTTACAGTGCTTCAAAACGGAGGGCGCATCGTTAATATAAAGGGAGAAGATTAGTGGGCCAAGAACACTCCCCTGTGGAACTCTTAAACCACGGGCAAGAGGCTGTGATCTTTCACCTCTCTCGCCCAAGACCACCTGCTGCCGGCCAGTGAGGTAAGAAGTGATCCATCCACAAGACGAATCAGAAAATCCCATTCTTTGGAGTTTCTCCGATACAAGGTTGATGTTAACACAATCAAAGGCCTGCGAGAAGTCAATTATCCGCATAAGAGCAGTGTGGGTACTGTGATGCTTCCTAAAGCCCGATTGGAATGAATCCAGCAAATCAGCATGATCAACATATTCCATGATCTGCTCCGCAACCAGACTGATTGGCCTCAAATGGTCAATCTTAGTCGGCAGTTTGCGCTTAGGTACTGGTCGAACCAAAGCCAGCTTCCAAGCTTCAGGAAACTCACACGATTGCAGCGAGCAATCGAAGATGTGCATCAGTATCGGCAGTATTATAGTGAGACAGGCCTTGATGTAGCTTAATGGTATATTGTCAGCTCCAGGCACGTTCGAACCCACCGAGTTAATCGCCCTCAGAATGCTTTCCAACGTAACGTGGGAAAAGTAGAAGCGACTATCTGGAGACACATGCGCAAATGGACGCAAGTCCCGCAATGGTTTAGCATGGTGAAGCCCGACAAAATACTTATTAATCTCGTCACAGCTGGCGGGAAGAGCAGACCGCTCATTGGTACCCGATGTCGCACCCAAATCTCCAAGGCATCTCCACAACTCTGTCGCACTCCTTAAATTCGCGATTCTCGTCGAGTAATAAACAGATACTGCGCACTGCGTATCGTGTCGCACCTGGTTTCTCAGCCGCTTGTAAGCCGCGTGATCGGTTGATCTACTGTACCGCCTATAAACGCTCCATGCTCTGTTCCTTGCTCGTATCAGGCATCGCAGCTCATGGGTGATCCATGGTGAGCGTTTCTTTTTTGCAGTGCAAGTCCGGTATGGGGCATGAGCGTCATATAGTCGCGTCAATGACTCCGTAAAAACACTGACTTTTTGATCTATATTTTTAAGACAGTGTATCATGCCCCAATCAATCTGCCTCAGATCATCATGAAATTGGTCAGAGTCAGACCCCCGAAACGAGCAGCACACAGTGGTATGCTGCACATGCTGAGACACATCAAGCGACAGAGAGGCCAGCAACAAGTCGTGCCAGGAAATGCTAGGATGGGACATCTGCGTGTGGTTCCTAACACTGCACAGCACTGATACTTATATAGTCAATGGTCGAGTGCAAGTTCCCCGCATGATGGGTAGGCAAAAAATCAAGTGGCTCAAGACTACAAGCCGTTAAAAAATTAAATAGTGTGAAACGAGTATTGGTATTTGCTATCCAGTCGATGTTGAAGTCCCCCATCAGGATAACCGCGTCACTGGAAGCATTGCAGTTTAATATGGCCTCCTCAACATCAGACCAGAAGCCTCCCTTTGGCGGCGAATAAACCACTCCAACGAGCACCCTTACCCACTGAAGATGAAGCAACATAAACAGGAACTCAGGTCTCTTGGTATACACAGCAGGGCACATAGAACGGCACACAATTTTGCAAGAAATCGATTCGTGCACGTGTAATGCAACACCACCGCCAGTCTTTCCCACACGGTCAGCCCTAAGTAATGTGTACCCATCTATCATAACTCGATTAGAAAAAGAACCATGTGTAAGCCACGATTCACTAACAGCGAGCAAGTGCAATCGATGCTGCCGAAAAATACTCAATACGTCCGCGAAATGTGGTTCAAGTGACTGAGAGTTGATATAACCAATGTTAAACAGGGTATCGTTATTGAGATTGATAGTCAGTGAGTCTTATCTTTCTTTCTACTTTTTTACGAAGAATAGGACACACAGCCTTATCGAGTGCAGAATGCAAGTGCGAGTCACTGCCCGCTTCCATACAGTTCCGGCATTTAAGATTGCCAGCAATGCTCTTGTTGGGGCATTTGTTGCTCATGTGATCGCCAGTACAGTGACCACAGCGGGGGTCGCTCGAACAGTTGTTGGCAACATGTCCGTAGCCTGCACATTTAAAACATTGCATAACGCTAACATGATCCTCTATGCAGCATCTTGACTAGTTAATGCTGACCCGTTGCTGCTGCATCAACTCCTGACAGTGCTTTGGGCTCACTTCAATAACGCAGGAGCGCAACTTCTTGGCAGCCGCAGGATATATATAAATTGGCTTAACGTGCTCAGCCGTGGCAGGGGCCAAATTTTGATTTGCAATACAAGTGGCGATTTCCTCTTTGCTCACGTCTACAGGAATATCGTGAACAATAAGGCGCGGCCGCATGCCTTCATTCAACTCAACCTCAAGCCCGGCATCCGAGAGCTTCAGGACAACGCAAGAATGCCTGTGCACTGACGCTACATTCCTCCAAAATTACTGTACCTCCAGGACCGTAGTCGACACGTTTAATACCAAGTCCAAGCCTGGACGGATTCACGGCACTCATAAGGGTTTTCTTAACAATTGCCGACAAAGTAAGCCTCTCAGTAGCAGCATCGACCGGACCAACAATTACGCGCTCCTCTCAAGCAATGGTGAAGGCTTTACCACCACTCAGTGATATTCTCTGTATCAATTGGCTCAAGCACGGAACGCCCGCCGCAACAACAGATGCATACGATGTCCGACTTCCTCCAGCACACGCTGTCTCCCGAGCGCAGAGCCCGCATTCTTCAATGTTTCGCAAGCAAAATTCATAATAGTCTCATGATACTTAATAGAATTATTAATCGACAGCTGCTGTACATGAGCATTTGAGAACACACGGAAGGCATCATTAATTCCTACAATTACCTCCTGCAGCTTCAGGTACCATGAGGACTCTTTTTCGGTACGAAAAATATCCAGCAGTGAATTGCGGTATCCATTAATCCTGGTTGCTATATCAGCGACGCTATCGAGCGTCAACAACGGCTCCGATAGTAAGGGAGAGGGATTCCTCTCTTCGCTCTCCTCTTCATCGTTTTCCTCGCGGAGCCGCTTCGATGCGCGTGACATCTCCCACAACTCGCGGCAACCACAGTGCAGTTTGAGTAACCAATTAGTTCACTCGATAATAGGTGACCGGTTTCAAGTTACGATTCCACGAAAAACGCCGTGCATAAGCTGGAAATACACAGTCGGCATCGACGCAAAAAGCGGCAAAATCACAATACAACACAAGATGGCGAGGGACAATGGGCATCCCAACACCTCAAACAGAATCGAGAAATCTATACGAAGCAGGAACCGCACACAGACACGAACACGAGTCTCGACGACCAGCGGCCAACCACTCACGGGAACAACCCACACAGCGCACAAGACGTCAAGCGAGAATAGTAATTAGCCATAAAACACAGAGCAGCACAAAACACGTGTGAACTCCCGAGACTCCCGCGAAAGAGAGCGAAAAAGATCAGCGAAACTTGCGCAAAAATAAGGTGAATGTTCGCGTGAGTAACGACAAACATAAGCACAACTGTAGCAAACGGTATTACAAAGCTTGTCCAAACATTAGCCAAACTTAAGCTAAACGCCAGTCAATCAAGAACTCAAGTTTGGGATTTTCTCATTGCCCAAGCTTGGCCAAAGTTTCGCCAAACATGAACTTTTGCGCAAGTTTGGCCAAACTTAAAAATTTTTACGGAGGGAGGTTAAATAGTGATCTTATTCTGTTCGGGTGTTCTTTAATTGACTTGATTTTATTTTACGTAATGTACTGTTATGGAACAAGCTTTGGGAATTCTCATATAGATGGGGAGCACGTAATTCCGATTTATTAAATAAATGGATTAAAGTATCCGAAATATTGTAGTGAAATGCTCTACCAAAAAGGCGGAGCTGGGGCTCGAACCCGATCAACTAACGATTTGCGAAACTTTACGCTGGCCGCTTAGCCATGACCGCCGCTGAAAGTGGCTGTATTGTTTGCACTCTTAGATGCGCTATTGTGTCATTAGTCGTACGCTGGTATGCCAACACACAGGCGCTGGCTTGACTGAATCAAGCCATGTCCGTAACAGTACGAATTAGTAAAGTACGAAATAGCAACAATGAATACTTACATGATTACAATAAGAATTGTCTGAAAATAATGATTTAATATAATGTAACTAGCAATATTCGATCTTATTTATTTCTGATCAAGAAATAGAGATTATAATAATGTGCATCAGGTTACTGCGAGTACAAATATTTGTTTTTAAGATTATTCGTTGAGTATTTTAGCAATTTTTACTTATCAAAAATAGTACTGTTATAAAAAATTATTAATCTAAACTTTCTTACAAAATAATTCATATACTTACATAACATTACTGATATTAAAATAAAAATATTCATATAAGAGGAGGTGTAGGCAGAAAAATGTATGTTGGCTTGTGTTTGAGTTCATAGTAACTTTATGTTCCTATTCATAATGGTACAATATTCACTGATATGTTTCTTATCATGACATTTATTAAATGATCAAACTGTTTATCTATGCAATTACTTTTATTCTAAATAAGCCTTCTAATAAGATAACACTTTTTGCATACTAATAAAAATTGTGTGCACCCATCGGCCTTTCCCCATCGTTTCTTAACTCTTAGTATAAGCATATTTTTTATAAAACGTAGTTGAATTCAAAATTTTCTAGTATGCCATTCATTAGTTTACTTTGGTAAGTTAAGAATTTGCACTGCAATTTAAAAGTATTTGGACCTATTATATGTTGAAAAATCAAGAAAATTTTAAAAATTATTAATTAGGATTCTGAGAACAAATAATGAATTTTGTATGTGTATGTTTGGAAGAGCTTACAAAGGCTTACAATCTATGTGTCAGAAATAATGTTACACTAATTATGGATCACTACAG